CTCGATATGATGATATCAGATGAATGGATTCTCGATATGATCATATCAGATGATGAGATTCTCGATATGATCATATTAGTTGAATGGATTCTCGATATGATCATATCAGATGATGAGATTCTCGATATGATCATATTAGTTGAATGGATTCTCGATATGATCATATCAGATGATGAGATTCTCGATATGATGATATAGGATCTTAGGATTCTCGATATGATGATATCAGATGAATGGATTCTCGATATGATGATATCAGATGAATGGATTCTCGATATGATGATATGTGATGATGAGATTCTCGATATGATCATATTAGTTGAATGGATTCTCGATATGATGATATCAGATGATGAGATTCTCGATATGATCATATCAGATGATGAGATTCTCGATATGATCATATTAGTTGAATGGATTCTCGATATGATCATATCAGATGATGAGATTCTCGATATGATGATATCAGATGAATGGATTCTCGATATGATGATATCAGATGATGAGATTCTCGATATGATCATATTAGTTGAATGGATTCTTGATATGATCATATGAGATGAATGGATTCTCGATATGATGATATAGGATCTTAGGATTTTCGATATGATGATATCAAATGATGGCTTTCCCGATATGATCATATTAGTTGAATGGATTCTCGATATGATCATATCCGATGATGAGATTCTCGATATGATGATATCAGATGAATGGATTCTCGATATGATGATATCAGATGAATGGATTCTCGATATGATTATATGTGATGATGAGATTCTCGATATGATCATATTCCTTGAATGGATTCTCGATATGATGATATCAGATGATGAGATTCTCGATATGATTATATGTGATGATGAGATTCTCGATATCATCATATCAGATGAACGGATTCTCGATATGATCATATTAGTTGAATGGATTCTTGGTATGATCATATGAGATGAATGGATTCTCGATATGATGATATCAAATGATGGCTTTCCCGATATGATCATATTTGATGATGAGATTCTCGATATGATGATATCAGATGAATGGATTCTCGATATGATGATATCAGATGATGAGATTCTCGATATGATGATATCAGATGAATGGATTCTCGATATGATGATATCAGATGATGAGATTCTCGATATGATGATATCAGATGATGAGATTCTCGATATGATCATATCAGATGAATGGATTCTCGATATGATCATATCAGATGATGAGATTCTCGATATGATGATATCAGATGATGAGATTCTCGATATGATCATATCAGATGAATGGATTCTCGATATGATCATATCAGATGAATGGATTCTCGATATGATCATATCAGATGATGAGATTCTCGATATGATCATATCAGATGATGAGATTCTCGATATGATGATATCAGATGATGAGATTCTCGATATGATTATATGTGATGATGAGATTCTCGATATCATCATATCAGATGAACGGATTCTCGATATGATCATATTAGTTGAATGGATTCTCGATATGATCATATGAGATGAATGGATTCTCGATATGATGATATCAGATGAATGGATTCTCGATATGATGATATCAAATGATGGCTTTCCCGATATGATCATATTTGATGATGAGATTCTCGATATGATGATATCAGATGAATGGATTCTCGATGTGATCATATTTGATGATGAGATTCTCGATATGATCATATCAGATGATGAGATTCTCGATATGATCATATCAGATGATGAGATTCTCGATATCATCATATCAGATGATGAGATTCTCGATATGATGATATCAGATGATGAGATTCTCGATATGATGATATCAGATGATGAGATTCTCGATATGATGATATCAGATGAATGGATTCTCGATATGATGATATCAGATGATGAGATTCTCGATATGATGATATCAGATGATGAGATTCTCGATATGATCATATCAGATGAATGGATTCTCGATATGATCATATCAGATGAATGGATTCTCGATATGATCATATCAGATGATGAGATTCTCGATATGATGATATCAGTTGAAGGGATTCTCGATATGATGATATCAAATGATGGCTTTCTCGATATGATCATATCAGATGATGAGATTCTCGATATGATGATATCAGATGAATGGATTCTCGATATGATGATATGTGATGATGAGATTCTCGATATGATCATATTAGTTGAATGGATTCTCGATATGATGATATCAGATGATGAGATTCTCGATATGATCATATCAGATGATGAGATTCTCGATATGATGATATCAGATGATGAGATTCTCGATATGATGATATCAGATGATGAGATTCTCGATATGATCATATCAGATGAACGGATTCTCGATATGATGATATCAGATGAATGGATTCTTGATGTGATCATATTTGATGATGAGATTCTCGATATGATGATATCAGATGAATGGATTCTCGATATGATCATATCAGATGATGAGATTCTCGATATGATCATATCAGATGATGAGATTCTCGATATGATGATATCAGATGATGAGATTCTCGATATGATGATATCAGATGATGAGATTCTCGATATGATGATATCAGATGAATGGATTCTCGATATGATGATATCAGATGATGAGATTCTCGATATGATGATATCAGATGATGAGATTCTCGATATGATCATATCAGATGAATGGATTCTCGATATGATCATATCAGATGAATGGATTCTCGATATGATCATATCAGATGATGAGATTCTCGATATGATGATATCAGATGATGAGATTCTCGATATGATGATATCAGATGAATGGATTCTCGATATGATCATATTAGTTGAATGGATTCTCGATATGATCATATCAGATGATGAGATTCTCGATATGATCATATCAGATGATGAGATTCTCGATATGATCATATCAGATGATGAGATTCTCGATATGATGATATCAGATGAATGGATTCTCGATATGATCATATCAGATGATGAGATTCTCGATATGATCATATTAGTTGAATGGATTCTCGATATGATCATATCAGATGAATGGATTCTCGATATGATGATATAGGATCTTAGGATTCTCGATATGATGATATCAAATGATGGCTTTCCCGATATGATCATATCAGATGATGAGATTCTCGATATGATGATATTAGATGAATGGATTCTCGATGTGATCATATCAGATGATGAGATTCTCGATATGATGATATCAGATGAATGGATTCTCGATATGATCATATCAGATGATGAGATTCTCGATATGATGATATCAGATGATGAGATTCTCGATATGATGATATCAGATGATGAGATTCTCGATATGATGATATCAGATGAATGGATTCTCGATATGATGAATATTGATGAATGGATTCTCGATATGATGATATCAGATGATGAGATTCTCGATATGATGATATCAGATGAATGAGATTCTCGATATGATGATATCAGATGAATGGATTCTCGATATGATGATATCAGATGATGAGATTCTCGATATGATTATATGTGATGATGAGATTCTCGATATGATGATATCAGATGAATGGATTCTCGATATGATCATATCAGATGATGAGATTCTCGATATGATTTAAGTGATGAGAGATTCTCGATATGATCATATCAGATGATGAGATTCTCGATATGATGATATCAGATGAATGATTCTCGATATGATATATCAGATGATGAGATTCTCGATATGATGATATAGTGATAGGATTCTCGATATGATCATATCAATGATGGATTCTCGATATGATCATATCAGATGATGAGATTCTCGATATGATGATATCAGATGAAGGATTCTCGATATGATCATATCAGATGATGAGATTCTCGATATGATGATATCAGATGAATGGATTCTCGATATGATCATATCAGATGATGAGATTCTCGATATGATCATATCAGATGATGAGATTCTCGATATGATCATATCAATGATGGATTCTCGATATGATCATATTGATGATGAGATTCTCGATATGATGATATCAGATGAATGGATTCTCGATGTGATCATATGATGAATGAGATTCTCGATATGATGATATCAGATGAATGGATTCTCGATATGATCATATCATGATGAGATTCTCGATATGATGATATCAGATGATGAGATTCTCGATATGATCATATCAGATGATGAGATTCTCGATATGATGATATCAGATGAATGATTCTCGATATGATGATATCAGATGATGGATTCTCGATATGATGATATCAGATGATGAGATTCTCGATATGATGATATCAGATGAATGGATTCTCGATATGATCATATCAGATGATGAGATTCTCGATATGATGATATGTGATGATGAGATTCTCGATATGATCATATCGATGAATGGATTCTCGATATGATGATATCAGATGATGAGATTCTCGATATGATTTATGTGAAGATGGATTCTCGATATGATCATATCAGATGATGAGATTCTCGATATGATCATATCAGTGAATGGATTCTCGATATGATCATATCAGATGATGAGATTCTCGATATGATGATATGGATCAGATTCTCGATATGATGATATCAATGATGGCTTTCCGATATGATCATAGATGATGAGATTCTCGATATGATAATATCAGATGAATGGATTCTCGATGTGATCATATTTGATGATGAGATTCTCGATATGATGATATCAGATGATGAGATTCTCGATATGATCATATCAGATGATGAGATTCTCGATATGATGATATCAGATGATGAGATTCTCGATATGATGATATCAGATGATGAGATTCTCGATATGATGATATCAGATGAATGGATTCTCGATATGATCATATCAGATGATGAGATTCTCGATATGATCATATCAGATGAAAGGATTCTCGATATGATCATATCAGATGAATGGATTCTCGATATGATCATATCAGATGATGAGATTCTCGATATGATCATATCAAATGATGGCTTTCGATATGATCATATGATGATGAGATTCTCGATATGATGATATCAGATGAATGGATTCTCGATATGATCATATGATGATGATTCTCGATATGATCATATCAGATGATGAGATTCTCGATATGATGATATCAGATGATGAGATTCTCGATATGATGATATCAGATGAATGGATTCTCGATATGATGATATCAGATGAATGGATTCTCGATATGATCATATCAGATGATGAGATTCTCGATATGATCATATTAGTTGAATGGATTCTCGATATGATCATATCAGATGATGAGATTCTCGATATGATCATATCAGATGAACGGATTCTCGATATGATGATATCAGATGAATGGATTCTCGATGTGATCATATTTGATGATGAGATTCTCGATATGATGATATCAGATGATGAGATTCTCGATATGATGATATTAGTTGGATGGATTCTTGGTATGATCATATGAGATGAATGGATTCTCGATATGATGATATCAAATGATGGCTTTCCCGATATGATCATATTTGATGATGAGATTCTCGATATGATGATATCAGATGAATGGATTCTCGATGTGATCATATTTGATGATGAGATTCTCGATATGATCATATCAGATGATGAGATTCTCGATATGATCATATCAGATGAATGGATTCTCGATATGATGATATCAGATGATGAGATTCTCGATATGATGATATCAGATGATGAGATTCTCGATATGATCATATCAGATGAATGGATTCTCGATATGATCATATCAGATGATGAGATTCTCGATATGATGATATCAGATGAATGGATTCTCGATATGATGATATCAGATGATGAGATTCTCGATATGATGATATCAGATGAATGGATTCTCGATATGATGATATCAGATGATGAGATTCTCGATATGATGATATCAGATGATGAGATTCTCGATATGATCATATCAGATGAATGGATTCTCGATATGATCATATCAGATGAATGGATTCTCGATATGATGATATCAGATGATGAGATTCTCGATATGATCATATCAGATGATGAGATTCTCGATATGATGATATCAGATGATGAGATTCTCGATATGATTATATGTGATGATGAGATTCTCGATATCATCATATCAGATGAACGGATTCTCGATATGATCATATTAGTTGAATGGATTCTCGATATGATCATATGAGATGAATGGATTCTCGATATGATGATATCAGGAATAGGATTCTCGATATGATGATATCAGATGATGGATTCTCGATATGATCATATGATGATGAGATTCTCGATATGATGATATCAGATGAATGGATTCTCGATGTGATCATATCAGATGATGAGATTCTCGATATGATGATATCAGATGATGAGATTCTCGATATGATGATATCAGATGATGAGATTCTCGATATGATGATATCAGATGATGAGATTCTCGATATGATGATATCAGATGAATGGATTCTCGATATGATGATATCAGATGATGAGATTCTCGATATGATGATATCAGATGATGAGATTCTCGATATGATCATATCAGATGAATGGATTCTCGATATGATCATATCAGATGATGAGATTCTCGATATGATCATATTAGTTGAATGGATTCTCGATATGATCATATCAGATGATGAGATTCTCGATATGATCATATCAGATGATGAGATTCTCGATATGATCATATCAGATGATGAGATTCTCGATATGATGATATCAGATGAATGGATTCTCGATATGATCATATTAGTTGAATGGATTCTCGATATGATCATATCAGATGATGAGATTCTCGATATGATCATATCAGATGATGAGATTCTCGATATGATGATATCAGATGAATGGATTCTCGATATGATGATATCAGATGAATGGATTCTCGATATGATCATATCAGATGATGAGATTCTCGATATGATCATATTAGTTGAATGGATTCTCGATATGATCATATCAGATGAATGGATTCTCGATATGATGATATAGGATCTTAGGATTCTCGATATGATGATATCAAATGATGGCTTTCCCGATATGATCATATTTGATGATGAGATTCTCGATATGATGATATCAGATGAATGGATTCTCGATGTGATCATATGAGATGAAGATTCTCGATATGATGATATCAGATGAATGGATTCTCGATATGATATATCAGATGATGAGATTCTCGATATGATGATATCAGATGATGAGATTCTCGATATGATGATATCAGATGATGAGATTCTCGATATGATGATATCAGATGAATGGATTCTCGATATGATGATATCAGATGAATGGATTCTCGATATGATCATATCAGATGATGAGATTCTCGATATGATGATATCAGATGAATGGATTCTCGATATGATCATATCAGATGATGAGATTCTCGATATGATTATATGTGATGATGAGATTCTCGATATGATCATATATCGTTGAATGGATTCTCGATATGATCATATCAGATGATGAGATTCTCGATATGATTATATGTGATGATGAGATTCTCGATATCATATATCAGATGATGAGATTCTCGATATGATCATATAGTTGAATGGATTCTCGATATGATCATATCAGATGATGAGATTCTCGATATGATGATATAATCTATAGGATTCTCGATATGATGATATCAAATGATGGTTTTCCCGATATGATCATATTTGATGATGAGATTCTCGATATGATAATATCAGATGATGGATTCTCGATGTGATCAGATTTGATGAGAGATTCTCGATATGATGATATCAGATGATGAGATTCTCGATATGATCATATCAGATGATGAGATTCTCGATATGATGATATCAGATGATGAGATTCTCGATATGATGATATCAGATGATGAGATTCTCGATATGATGATATCAGATGAATGGATTCTCGATATGATCATATCAGATGATGAGATTCTCGATATGATCATATCAGATGAATGGATTCTCGATATGATCATATCAGATGAATGGATTCTCGATATGATCATATCAGATGATGAGATTCTCGATATGATCATATCAAATGATGGCTTTCCCGATATGATCATATTTGATGATGAGATTCTCGATATGATGATATCAGATGAATGGATTCTCGATGTGATCATATTTGATGATGAGATTCTCGATATGATCATATCAGATGATGAGATTCTCGATATGATGATATCAGATGATGAGATTCTCGATATGATGATATCAGATGAATGGATTCTCGATATGATGATATCAGATGAATGGATTCTCGATATGATCATATCAGATGATGAGATTCTCGATATGATGATATCAGATGAATGGATTCTCGATATGATCATATCAGATGATGAGATTCTCGATATGATCATATCAGATGAACGGATTCTCGATATGATATATCAGATGATGAGGATTCTCGATGTGATCATATTTGATGATGAGATTCTCGATATGATGATATCAGATGATGAGATTCTCGATATGATGATATCAGATGATGAGATTCTCGATATGATGATATCAGATGATGAGATTCTCGATATGATGATATCAGATGAATGGATTCTCGATATGATGATATCAGATGATGAGATTCTCGATATGATGATATCAGATGATGGATTCTCGATATGATCATATCGTGAATGGATTCTCGATATGATCATATCAGATGATGAGATTCTCGATATGATTATATGTGATGATGAGATTCTCGATATGATGATATCAGATGATGGATTCTCGATATGATGATATCAGATGAATGGATTCTCGATATGATCATATCAGATGATGAGATTCTCGATATGATCATATTAGTTGAATGGATTCTCGATATGATCATATCAGATGAATGGATTCTCGATATGATGATATAGGATCTTAGGATTCTCGATATGATGATATCAAATGATGGCTTTCCCGATATGATCATATTTGATGAATGGATTCTCGATATGATGATATCAGATGAATGGATTCTCGATATGATCATATCAGATGATGAGATTCTCGATATGATGATATCAGATGATGAGATTCTCGATATGATGATATCAGATGATGAGATTCTCGATATGATGATATCAGATGAATGGATTCTCGATATGATGATATCAGATGAATGGATTCTCGATATGATCATATCAGATGATGAGATTCTCGATATGATGATATCAGATGAATGGATTCTCGATATGATCATATCAGATGATGAGATTCTCGATATGATTATATGTGATGATGAGATTCTCGATATGATCATATTCGTTGAATGGATTCTCGATATGATCATATCAGATGATGAGATTCTCGATATGATTATATGTGATGATGAGATTCTCGATATCATCATATCAGATGATGAGATTCTCGATATGATCATATTAGTTGAATGGATTCTCGATATGATCATATCAGATGATGAGATTCTCGATATGATGATATAGGATCTTAGGATTCTCGATATGATGATATCAAATGATGGCTTTCCCGATATGATCATATTTGATGATGAGATTCTCGATATGATAATATCAGATGAATGGATTCTCGATGTGATCATATTTGATGATGAGATTCTCGATATGATGATATCAGATGATGAGATTCTCGATATGATCATATCAGATGATGAGATTCTCGATATGATGATATCAGATGATGAGATTCTCGATATGATGATATCAGATGATGAGATTCTCGATATGATGATATCAGATGAATGGATTCTCGATATGATCATATCAGATGATGAGATTCTCGATATGATCATATCAGATGAATGGATTCTCGATATGATCATATCAGATGAATGGATTCTCGATATGATCATATCAGATGATGAGATTCTCGATATGATCATATCAAATGATGGCTTTCCCGATATGATCATATTTGATGATGAGATTCTCGATATGATGATATCAGATGAATGGATTCTCGATGTGATCATATTTGATGATGAGATTCTCGATATGATCATATCAGATGATGAGATTCTCGATATGATGATATCAGATGATGAGATTCTCGATATGATGATATCAGATGAATGGATTCTCGATATGATGATATCAGATGAATGGATTCTCGATATGATCATATCAGATGATGAGATTCTCGATATGATCATATTAGTTGAATGGATTCTCGATATGATGATATCAGATGATGAGATTCTCGATATGATCATATCAGATGATGAGATTCTCGATATGATCATATCAGATGATGAGATTCTCGATATGATGATATCAGATGAATGGATTCTCGATATGATGATATCAGATGAATGGATTCTCGATGTGATCATATTTGATGATGAGATTCTCGATATGATGATATCAGATGATGAGATTCTCGATATGATGATATCAGATGATGAGATTCTCGATATGATGATATCAGATGATGAGATTCTCGATATGATGATATCAGATGAATGGATTCTCGATGTGATCATATCAGATGATGAGATTCTCGATATGATGATATCAGATGAATGGATTCTCGATATGATCATATTAGTTGAATGGATTCTCGATATGATGATATCAGATGAATGGATTCTCGATATGATCATATCAGATGAATGGATTCTCGATATGATCATATCAGATGATGAGATTCTCGATATGATCATATCAGATGATGAGATTCTCGATATGATCATATTAGTTGAATGGATTCTCGATATGATCATATCAGATGATGAGATTCTCGATATGATGATATCAGATGATGAGATTCTCGATATGATGATATCAGATGATGAGATTCTCGATATGATGATATCAGATGAATGGATTCTCGATATGATGATATCAGATGAATGGATTCTCGATATGATCATATCAGATGATGAGATTCTCGATATGATGATATCAGATGAATGGATTCTCGATATGATCATATCAGATGATGAGATTCTCGATATGATCATATTAGTTGAATGGATTCTCGATATGATCATATCAGATGATGAGATTCTCGATATGATCATATTAGTTGAATGGATTCTCGATATGATCATATCAGATGATGAGATTCTCGATATGATGATATCAGATGAATGGATTTCGATATGATGATATCAGATGATGGATTCTCGATATGATGATATCAGATGATGGATTCTCGATATGATCATATTTGATGATGAGATTCTCGATATGATCATATCAGATGATGAGATTCTCGATATGATCATATCAGATGATGAGATTCTCGATATGATGATATCAGATGAATGGATTCTCGATATGATGATATCAGATGAATGGATTCTCGATATGATCATATCAGATGATGAGATTCTCGATATGATCATATTAGTGAATGGATTCTCGATATGATCATATCAGATGATGAGATTCTCGATATGATCATATCAGATGAATGGATTCTCGATATGATGATATCAGATGAATGGATTCTCGATATGATCATATCAGATGATGAGATTCTCGATATGATCATATTAGTGAATGGATTCTCGATATGATCATATCAGATGATGAGATTCTCGATATGATCATATTAGTGAATGGATTCTCGATATGATCATATCAGATGATGAGATTCTCGATATGATGATATCAGATGAATGGATTTTCGATATGATGATATCAGATGAATGGATTCTCGATATGATGATATCAAATGATGGCTTTCCCGATATGATCATATTTGATGATGAGATTCTCGATATGATCATATCAGATGATGAGATTCTCGATATGATCATATCAGATGATGAGATTCTCGATATGATGATATCAGATGAATGGATTCTCGATATGATGATATCAGATGAATGGATTCTCGATATGATCATATCAGATGATGAGATTCTCGATATGATCATATTAGTTGAATGGATTCTCGATATGATCATATCAGATGATGAGATTCTCGATATGATGATATCAGATGAATGGATTCTCGATATGATGATATCAGATGAATGGATTCTCGATATGATCATATCAGATGATGAGATTCTCGATATGATCATATTAGTTGAATGGATTCTCGATATGATCATATCAGATGATGAGATTCTCGATATGATGATATCAGATGAATGGATTTTCGATATGATGATATCAGATGAATGGATTCTCGATATGATGATATCAAATGATGGCTTTCCCGATATGATCATATTTGATGATGAGATTCTCGATATGATCATATCAGATGATGAGATTCTCGATATGATCATATCAGATGATGAGATTCTCGATATGATGATATCAGATGAATGGATTCTCGATATGATGATATCAGATGAATGGATTCTCGATATGATCATATCAGATGATGAGATTCTCGATATGATCATATTAGTTGAATGGATTCTCGATATGATCATATCAGATGATGAGATTCTCGATATGATGATATCAGATGAATGGATTCTCGATATGATGATATCAGATGAATGGATTCTCGATATGATCATATCAGATGATGAGATTCTCGATATGATGATATCAGATGAATGGATTCTCGATATGATCATATCAGATGATGAGATTCTCGATATGATCATATTAGTTGAATGGATTCTCGATATGATCATATCAGATGATGAGATTCTCGATATGATCATATCAGATGAATGGATTCTCGATATGATGATATCAGATGAATGGATTCTCGATATGATGATATCAAATGATGGCTTTCCCGATATGATCATATTTGATGATGAGATTCTCGATATGATCATATCAGATGATGAGATTCTCGATATGATCATATCAGATGAATGGATTCTCGATATGATGATATCAGATGATGAGATTCTCGATATGATCATATCAGATGAATGGATTCTCGATATGATCATATTCGTTGAATGGATTCTCGATATGGTGATATCAAATGAATGGCTTTCTCTATATGTTGATATCAGATGATTAGATTCTGAATTTCAGGATTTCACATGATTATATCTCATTCTAATATCCTTGATTTGATATTAATTAATCAATGCTTTGCGAATTAATTCTACTTTGCTTTTCATTCAATCTTCTCTCTTCCTCTTCGATTTCTTCTCTTTTATTTGGTTTCTTCTTTGGTTTATCTCTTTTTTCATCACTCTTCTGGGCTTTTTTCATGTCTTCGATGTCCATTTTGTTTATTGGTGGGTTGCGTTCTTTGTACAATTTGCAGTTTTGTTTTAATTCATGTGCCAACTCTTCACTAATTGGATGCAAAGGAAGTGACGCCGTTTTCTCTTTTGTCGGGGGCTGCTTTTGGATTTCTTCAACAAACCTTTGATCAAGAATCTGGATGAATATCTTCTTTTTTCTTGCTCGCTATCTTCTAATTTGTGGTAATTAGTGTTGTTTTTTGTTAACAGTTTAGCGGGGTTATAAGGTAAATAACCACAGGAAGCAAATGCATTGAAAGCTGATTTGCCATCAACAACTTTCGTAATTGCCTCATGCGCGGTTTCGATTACCATAGCTTTTAATGTTGCTTGATCAGGCTCGCTTTTGTGTGCTTCTTTAAACTCTCTTATTTCCGTTCTCAAATTTTTTATAAATTGATCTTTGAACGGTTTTGACATCACCACATCATGCGGTTGGCATGATGCGGTGCATTTTCCTGGATATGTCAAAACGTCGATATTGTTTTTTTGTAAATATATGAGACTATTCGCGTTTTCTCTGGTGTAATGAGAATCTATTAATAGGAGAATTTTCCTATTAATATCGTCATTTCGTAATTCGATATTAATTTTTCCGACCAATAAATGACACCATGTCAGAAATATGGCATCATTCATATATCCATTGTCAGAAGAATTCAAATAGATTCGACCTTGGACGATATCCTTGAGATTCTTGTCTAAGGTTGAAGATTTGGATACCACAATTACTGATGGTCCAAGCCAGCCATTTGCCGCAAAGCACACCATAATCGATATGTGGTCTTCGTCATTCCCATAGATTTCTTCTTTTGGTGCATCTTTGGCGCGGCAAACCACATATCGATTACTTCCTTTGTATTTTATTGCAGACTCGTCTGCATTTATTATGGAAGATGAGCGTCCATTGACAATAGATTTTATGATTTGGCCGATTTGAAGCGACCATCTCAAAAGTGTGTTTTGGGTACATGCTTTTAATCGGTCGTAATCAACTTTATCTGAGGATTTAACCACAAAATCATATTTTGTGATAAATTTTTGCCTGATATAATTTTCAATTGTAGTTGGGTCGGTTTCTGTAAAGTGTTTTTTAAACCATTCAAGTTTATCAATTTTGAGAATTTGGCAGTAATATCTCGCTCTGATTTTAAATTCATTTAGAAACTGAATGGCTTTTTCAGTGACCTCACTAATTGAAAAAAAATATCCCGTTTGACATTTTTTCTATCATATGATTGGCTAAAAAATTTTGAACTCCAGTGGACAAGCATGCAATTCTATCGTTCGATGTTGCATCAATGTTGTATATTTCTCCAACAAGCGAAAATTTTAAACAATTTCCAATACGATCTTTATTGACATTTTCATGAACTTTAACTAAAGTGCAATTTTCATCACTAAGTGTTTCAATGAGATTTGGAATAGAAACTTGGTCCTGTAAAATTATTGATGTGACAATAATTTGATTAATTAGCAAATGAGAATTAAAAATTACACATTCAGTCAGAAATTGTGATGTTATTTCAGATAGTTCTGTAATATTCAACATTGTTTTAATTATTTTGTTGCAAGTTTCAATTTTTTTAAAAATTAGTTGCGAATAATTTTTAAATTGATATTTTGGGCTCCACCAAATTGGAGTTTCTGCGATTTCTTGCATTTGTAAAACATTGAGATTTGGCTTTAGTAATCTGAATTCGACATTGTAAAATTCGAAGGGAATCGTTGTAATTTGATGATAAAATGGTGATTTTAGACCTAAATTTAAATTTCTTAAGTTGTATAATGATTTTTGATCCAGATAAACCACTGCCTTTTGATATTTTTTTAATATTTGTTTTGCAACTTCTTTTTGCGTTAAATTGGTATCATTTAAAGGCTGATTATTCGAAGTTTGATTTGAATTGAAAATTGATTTAATTCTGTGTCCATAATAATTTATCACTGTATAATCAATCGTTGAGCCTGGGATGAGATCTTCAAGTTGAATAATTTCGTATTCCTGTCCAATGAATCTGTTGGTATCATTGTATTCTTTTTTTGGACTGACTTTAAATCTTTTTCTTTGTTTCTTTTGAGTGATAATTTTAAATGCAAATCCATCAATTGTTTTCAATTCTTCTATTTCAATGTGTGTTTCGTTTATAATTGTATTTTCACCATTAGTTTCATTGTTTTGATGTGCTGAATTATCGTTAAAATCTTGATCCGGTATAGAACCCTCATTGGTAAAAATATTATCTACTACACTTTGTAATAAATTTTTTGTTTTTTGATGTTGCTCCATATATTGTAAGATTTTATTGCAATTTTTAAGCGCGCTTGAACAGTTAAATTTTCTGGTACTCCTGATAACATGACTTTTCTTGGAGGAGATTTTTTTTCATCAATGTGTGTGTTTGGAGTTTATTTAGATAAATTAATTTAGGGTACTTATCCGGCCAAATTAACATTTAAAATTTTTATAACAAATATTAAAATTTCTCATGATGATATTTGTATATTTTTATATATATTGTATAGAAGATTATTAAAGTTTTAGTGGATCATAATATTTTAATAGAATCTCTCTTTATTAGTGTGGGGAACAAATTTTTGATTTTTGATAAATTTTCCTTCCAAGAGAAATTTGTGGCTCTGATGCATTATACCATGGCCCGAAGCCTCAGAGATTAAACAATCCAAAGAATTCGATAGGCCTGAGAAATTAAACGCAAAAAGAGTCCAAGTGAGGGAAATTAAAATTCCCCTCACTTGGACTTTTCATATATAGAGAAATTCCAGATATGATTTGCAAATGCAAATAGATACAACATATGTAGTATTATCATTGTATGCAAGTGCGTTCCTGATTGGACAACAACATGATGTTATTTTCAATAAAACATCAACGAACTTTCCCTTTCAAAAAAACTAATGATAAAAGTTAGTTTTTTTTATTTGGAAAAAGCAGGGTTTTCATCAGGAGGACTCCGCGCGAAGCGCAGGAGTCCTCCTGATGAAAACCCTGCAATCCATTCTTGTTATAAAATCAATTAAAAAAATGATCCAAGTAAGGGGAATTATAATTCCCTCACTTGAACTTTACTCGATTAAACGCTCTAATTCCTTCTACTGATTCGTAAGATTGGGAGCTATGGTGATCCTCAAGCGAATAAAAACATCACTGCTCTTCTGAACAACTATGGCTCAAAAGGAAAATACTTATATTGATAGGTATTCAGGAGCTCCAAGGTCCCTTTGCGCAATTATTGTTAGCTATTGAACTCCTGGAAATATCAAAAAATATGGTTTACAATATGAGCGATTGACTTTGGAGCAATTCTATACACTTCACATACTTATGCTCCACTTATATTGTGAAATTTTAAAGTTGCTTAGATATTTCTAATTGGTAAGCCAAAGAATGGAAGATAAAGTTCAATCCCCACATCTTGATGAAAAAATTACATGATTTTTCACTCACTTTATCACGTGGTAGTGTCATTCATAACATAATGCCTTTGCTGAAGTTTTAAATGATGCAAATACTTCAATATACCAAGGAATTATATTTTTTTTAATTATAAATAACTTCATTGCAATCGATGAACATATTACTGCTGTTAATATCTAGATAATATCAAATGGAGTGATAATTTTCGTTAAAAAAATTGGGAAACGAGTAGGGGTAATTTTAGCTAAAAGTGACACACCTGTAAAAAGTGACACACCCGTGAAGGGTGTGATTACCGATCGGTAATTTCGACAGTTTAGAATTTAAAATTTTTTATGGAACTGTTGCGAGTTTCATAAAGAATTTAAGGAATATAAGCAAAGATTTGAATCAAAATCTTAGACCTAAGCCGCTCGATTCGCTCGCGGCTTCCGCGAATTACAGATCAGCAAAGATTTGAATCAAAATCTTCGAACTAAGCCGATCGCTTCGCTCGCGGCTTTCTTTATTATTTTAAATTTGCATATTTCCATCAAAAGTTCATAAGGTAAAAAATTTCGTTTATATTATTGCAAAATAAAATCTTCATTATCAAAATAATATTAAATGATAATATAATATAATTTATAAACAACTATTATTTAATAAAGTTTAATTGCCAAGGTTCATCTATTTTTTGATTTTTAATGTTTTATGAATTTTATTTATCATGTATATATCTAATGAAGATTATATATGTAGAAGATAAGTACTTAATATGTACGTAAATTTTAATGAAATTTATACAACATTATAAAAATTTATGAATAAAAACTTGATATAAAATAACATTTTTATTTTTACTAAGAAAAAAAGGTTTTTGATAATAAATTTATTTTATTTCGAAAAAGTAGCAATAATCGTAAAAGGGTATTGATAGGCTTGCTAAAGTAACTAATTTTAGCTGTCAAATACTTTTGTATTTTGAAGTAAATTAGTATAAATTTGTTTTTACTTTTATTTCGAAAAAGTAACAATAATCGTAAAAGGGTATTGATAGGCTTGCTAAAGTAACTAATTTTAGCTGTCAAATACTTTTGTATTTTGAAGTAAATTAGTATAAATTTGTTTTTACTTTTATTTCGAAAAAGTAACAATAATCGTAAAAGGGTATTGATAGGCTTGCTAAAGTAACTAATTTTAGCTGTCAAATACTTTTGTATTTTGAAGTAAATTAGTATAAATTTGATATTATTTTAACTCCCTTTGAAAACCTCAATTTTCCATACAGAGGGAACGGGAATAGCATCCAATATTCCCTGAGAATGGTTGCGCATTCTCAGTTCCCTCTATATTTCGAACGAAGCTCTCATCGGTCTTTTTTTTAATACTAAACGTTTTTTTCACTGTCACTTTTAGCTAAAATTTGGGTTTGCCGTAGATAATTAAGGGAGGCTTCCGACCAGAAAGTCCTCTCAATTTTTGTGATGTTTACACCAAAAGTGAGATTCGTTAAGCGTTTTTCTCGTTGAATATTGAGTTTCCCGGATTTTAAGTTATTCATAAAGCTTCTCTATATTATACCCTATCTACTGATATGATTATTTTTGAAAAATCTCTTAAATCGACCTGCACTGAATTTTTTAGGGAAAATTCGAAATTTTATAGGCGTTTTCTGTAACGTTTTTTACGGAATAAAATCCGAAAAATAATTTTTTGAAGAATCATTTGGGTAGAATACTTATCGAAAATTATATTTATTATAATTTTGGTCGATAAAAATAAGCGGATTCAAAACTGGCAAAAACCCTTTCGGCAATTTGTGGACGATTCCGAACCCCCTCATTTTTGAAATTTAATAAGAAAAATAGAATCTTTATTAAATATAGATTTTAAAAAACTTGGTTATAAATTACGAAATTTTCTCACTTGGGCTAAAAAGTGACAATTTGGTCGGAAGCCACCCTTAAATCTGATGGACATTATTAAATTTGCTTTTTAATCAAATAAATATAATCGAAATAGGTAGTATATACGGGTTTGATTATGATTTTAAGAAATTATATATTTATTTTAGTTTTTTATTGAATTTGTAGTAGTCAACAATATAATACATATTATGTTAAATATTTTCAAAGTATAAGATACGGTTTTTTTATCAGGAAAAAAAAATAATTTGTGAGAATACTGCATTTTTATGTGAAGTGATCAATTTTTGTGCAGAAAAATAGAATTAATAACGAGAGTCATAGACAACATATGAGTGTACCAATGCTATAGCAGGGCAACAGTGTAAATCTGAAATAAAGGATATTGGATCGAGATTACAAAATAATAATTCCGTGACAATAGG